GGTCGGACAGGGGCTGGTCGTTCCTGGATGCCGCAGTGTTCGGGTGTTGTATGTGCATGTTCCTTTGGGGAAGGTGCAGCTGGGCCAGGTTTGCCGAAATCGGAGTACCTTGGAGTGATCGTGTCACGTGTCTGGTCATGTAACTGCCTGCCAGTTTGTCGCTCTGCAGTTCAGTTGTGCTTTTAGGGGTAGTGTTTCGATGGCCTTTGCTTGTCCTGGTGCGATTGATGTGCTCCATCTTGGGCACAGCGACTGCAGCCCGGAACGAATCCTCGATCTGCTGCAAGACATCCCAGTCGGAGTTCAACGAATCATTGGGGTACCAGCCCTCATACTCGAGACAGCTAGCGCACTTATTCGTCACAGATTCATTGTCGCATAAGTTACATAATTCATGCTGTCTGATCGTAGAACTCCAGAAATCGTCGAAGAAGGCAAGAGGGGATAGAATGCCATAGCCTCCGCCCTGTAGGAAGTCGGAACCATACCAAAAACTGGACAAGAGCACCGAAGCACAATTTGGCCGCGGTTGTCTGCCAGGACCATGCAAAACTCGCCTTACCGGCTTCAATGTCTGCAGCCCCATCGCTGGCCACCCAGAAGGGCATGGCTGTGACAATCTGCAGGACTGAGTAGGCGTCCACCATCCATTCAAGTCGTCATAAGAGCTGTTTCCAAGGCTCCAAAGTTGGCAAGGAAATCCTCAAAGTTTGTCGGTGTGGGTGGTAGTGGACGAGCAGGAATGCCTGCTGTGAAACACTACCAACTACCACTGTCTCACGCTTGTTGAAGAGGGTCAGGTCTAGGACTCGCCGCTTTCCAGAGTCTGGCTGGACAGAGTGCAATCGGGGGAAGTGGGATCCAGTGGCACCGAGTGTTGTAGGATGCTGGCTCCAGGTAGGTCTCATCTCCGAACTCCCAGCGATGAACTGTCCGTCCTTGTTCGGGACTGGATGTGGAACATCCAGAATTCGACTCTTCATTGTCGCAACTTGTTGATAGACGACGTTGGCATCGACTTCGTAGAAGAACCTGTGGCGCATCCGGAGCTTGTCAGCAGAGACGAGCCACCTCCCCAGGGGTACATCCAACGTCAGATTCGGAGCGAAAAGGGATAACGCTTTCCTCCACAACCACCAAGTCCTGGGATCCCTGGGTCGATCTTGAAATCTCTTGAAGTAGGTGGTGCGAGGCATCAGAGGACTGGAAAAGCCATGCCAGAACTCCTCCCGGATGTATGTGCCACATGCCGTTGTGATGTCAGCTACCGTGACAACTTGGAAGTAAAGCCGCACATAGTTGATTCGTTTCAAAGTCTGCCTCGGAGAAATCCCCATACCACCCCACCCAATCCATAATGTAGGAGTCGTGCTCGCGCTGCAACGGCGGAATGTGAGCGTTATGCACTTCAATCGTGCCTCCAATGGATTTAAGGAACCTTCGCATGCATTGGAACAGCCCGACTGGGAGATGACAATCGATTTCGAGATCCTCAAGGATGGGCCGGCCAATTCCGGCATGGAATTGCAACCATGCGTATGTGACTTCACTTAGGTCTCCAATGTCGGTGCACCTTGTCCTCCAGTGCTTTAAGAACTGCTGGATGACCCCGATTCCTTGCTTGTCAGCGAGTCGAAACATTTCTATACCCCCCAACTTCCAGGAACCATAGCAGATCACTTTCGCAGTATTCGATCGATACCCCATCTTCTGAAGTGCAGCTCGGCGTGGAGCCGATTCAATGGTATCGAGATCGACATCCTTGAAGAAGGTGGTCTCCAAGCAGTAACCCACACTCGAAAGGAAGATGCTTCGATAGAACATGTTGGCTTCCCGTCTATTCAGTGGGGATCCCTTCAGAACTCTGGTATAGTGGGTGCATTTCTTGATCAAGGCTGCTTTCTGTGCTGCGAGATTTCCAGCCGGGCCTTTGAAACATCCCAGTGACTTGTGATCTTTGTAGTTGTCGACTGGTTTGATCGGCGTGACGATCCCATCAGTGGATTCCACCTTGATGGATGGTGTAAAGTCAGTCCCCGAGACCAGCTTTGGTTCTCCACTGGATCTGAACTCATATCGGAGATGATGAAAGGAACACTTCGAAGCCTCCAGCTTGCCGCCCGATGACCACAGAAGATCACTCCACCATTGAGCATCTTTGGTTGCCTTCTCCACCAATACCTGCACTGAGGGAACAGTGTTTGTCAGAAAGCAATTTGGATTAAAAAACTCTAGCTAGCAGAGGGCAACCAAAATGCCTTGAACTTGTTTGGTCGGCTTCATCACGCATGTAAAGCATGAAGGAAAACGAATTCCACCTTTCCTTCGCCAACTATTCTACTACCGATATAGTGATTTCCAGTTATTCAGCATGCGTGACTTGCTACATGAAGAGAACTGCCTGCCACTCCAGTGCCTTGGGACTATGAGCATTGTTGGTGCCTCTGGTTTGCTACTTTCGTTGGATAAGACTTGTTTTGTGTGCAGACCGTGCATTCGACCAGGGGAGCTTTCAACGAGATTGGTTATTTACAAGGTTGATGTGATTAATAGCTATCAGAGAATTGCCAAGGATTGTTGCTGGTCTGCAGTCTCAAAGGTTTCAAACCCAGTGGCTCTCCAAAACGCATGTGGATTGTTGTTGAGAGGCGCATCGAATCGACCAAATTCTAGAATAATTCAGGAGCAGGGCCGCCAAAAAAGTAGTGTTCACACAAGTCCTTAATGTTCTCCTGGGAATTGGAGGAGCATCAGGGTAAGTATCATTGCCTACAGCAGCAAAATTGGACACAAACAAATATACCGGTAGACGTTCACTTACTTTGCGCAAGGCACCTTCAATTCTACCCTTGAGGACAGCTTTGGCTTGTTGGTTTTCTTCACCTTCTTTGGGTTCGTACTTGTCAAGGAACAGCAAAGTGGGCAGTCCCATAATGTTTAATCTTGCGGCCATGTTTTCATCCTGATCGGTGTCCAACTTGACCAAGGAAACCTTCCCCTTGAGCTCCTTCGCCGCTTCTTCAAACTCGGGGGCCTGAAAAAAAGTAGGTTGGAAAAAGCAGGAACACGTTCAGAAAGCGAGAGGCATTATCTCAAAGGCGTTTTATCGACCTTTGGTCACTGCGAACTCACCATGATCAGGCATGGCCCACACCTATATTTTTAAAAATCAACACAAGAAGTGAGCAAAAAGGGGTTTAACTTATTTAAGACCAACTGTAAGAAACTGGGGACTTGATTGCCGATTCGTAGACGGAGGAAACTGACCATGTTGCATAGGCATCAATGACGAGAGGCTGTTCGAGCTCGGTAAGCATCAATTCCAATTGCTCTCCATTGACGAGAGGAGCAGCTTTTTCCACATCTTCGGCAAACAGAGAACTGCTGCTTTCGAATTTGTGCACTCGAGTCAATGGACTGGAAACAAAAGCCACTGTCGATTGTACCAAGGCCAAAAGGGCCACAAACGATATCTCCACGCGACGAGTCATCTTCGGGAAAGCGGAATTGTGGGATACTGAAGTAGAAGTGAGAGGAGCAACAGATCAACAAATCTTCCACCTCGCCTTCTCGAAAGTGAGTGGATCGCGCCATTGTCATTCGGTCGTTGCAGCCGACACTGACGTATTTTCACCCAAACTCTATTTTAACCCTACCGGTAACTCACTTTGAACCCAGTACAAATGGGGAAAACAATCGTTAATCCACGGCAATAACTTTCGCCATCTCCAACCAACTACCGCTACGGTACCAGTACCAGTATTTGGTACCCGTATAAAATATGGTACATCGCCATCTTCAGCATGATGCATGAAGGGACGACTTGGAGCCTGCTCAAGCAAGATGGCTTTTTCTAATAAGTTTAAAGGCTGATAGTCTAGTTGATGCAGAGATTTCAACGTTGCCATTGCAAGTCCCATGCGATCAAGTGCTTTGTCATCATTTATTTGTTGCTGTGATCTTACTTCATTACAAACTTACTGGCTCCATCTCTCTTCGAACGCTGCTGGTGTGATCATGGAACAACAACAGCCTTGAAACCATATCACGTGGTATGGTGTAGGGAACTATCTTGACAAAAATGTGGGAGACTTTTTCTAGAGCAGCTAGTCTATAATCACTACCCCCAAGGGGGTGCACAATGATGTTCTGCAATTTATAAGGTTCATAGTCCACCTGTGGCTCTTCCTGTTACCGTAGCTAGAGAGACCACGTCTTGGTTGGTTGGATGGAAAAGCGAAAGCACGCAAGGAGATAAAGGTTGTTTCTGGACTGTTGGGAGCCACCGTAGTCCTTGTGCCCGGAGACCACAAAACTAATGTACAGTACGAGCAAAAGCCGTTACCACTGGCTTGTTGACGGGAGGCAAATAAAACCAGATCTATGCATGAGGGGTGGTAATGGAGAATTCCACGTCACCAGTTAGGGTGGCGATTGCTGTGTTTTGGCAAAAACAAAACAAAAAACCAACGTCTAATAACGGATTCAGACTAGATGTGCTTGAGGACTGTGTTTAGGCACTTGCACTCTTCCACTAATTTCGCTCCCTTCTCCTTCCTCGTTTTCCTCCATGCACCCCCCTTCCCCTGCCCCCTCCTTTGCCCTGCTCCCGTCCTCGTTGCTCCCCCCCTCCTCCACCCACCACCACAGCCACCCACCACCGCAGCCACTGCTCTGTCTAGCTTAGCTCCCCTCGCTCCTTAACGTATCTATTTAGTATTTGTTTAGGCAGTCTCCGCAGATTCCCCCTCCAGCACTGCAAGTCATACCGGTACGACCCAAGCAGAAGCTGGCTGCAGTCTGCATCCAAAAAGGTGTCCACCTTTTTTAAAATCCTTGTGAGACACCTCATACTCTAGCTAGAGGCAGACATTGACTTGCGTTCGGGACAGGAAGATGGGGATGAGAGGAAGATCCTTGGCGGTCCCCTCAATCAATCCTGAATATCTGTTTGCAACGCTCATGTTTCTGGATATCTTAATGAAAAGGTTGGTTGGGATTCTTTGAAGGTATGTGGGACGTCATTCTCGTGAATGAACACCAAACACTTTGAATTTTCGCCTTGATCACGATATAGAAAGCGCACTTTCGACATTCTTGGAGGTCCCACTCAAACACACACAAGACAACCAAGATGAAGTGGATCCTTTTGAGTGCTTAACAATCGGTTGGAGACGACAATCTACTCTACTCTACTACATGTACATGTACTAGCTAGCTAGCTAGCGAAGCCATATCATGTATAACTCTACCACGACGGAGGAAGGCGAGCAGGAATCTCTGCTGCCTCGGCGAAGACAGAGAAATGACGACGACGATGATGAGAAATGCTGTTCTGGCCCCAAGGCTGGGATCTTGATCAATCGCATCCTGATGCTGCTGGTATTGGTCACCTTTGTGGCTGCTTCTGTGTACTTTCAATCTTCCCTCACATCCCTCCACGATGAACTGGTCCAAGAGGAAGAGACTGTGCAGAAACTGGTCCAGACGGTCAGCGACCACGCCGAAGTGATTCGTCGCTTCAACGAATCCGTCACACAAGCAGATGTCCTGAAGCAACTGCAATCATTGGAAGCCACTGTGAACGAGACGACCCATGGGCTGCAGCACGACATGTTGCGACTCCAGAAAAATGTCAATGAGCAACTGCACGACACAATCGCGGATTTGGGCGACACCGTCAAGGAAGCCAAGGAAGAAATCAAAAATGAAGTCGAAAAGGTCAAGGATGACGTGGATCACTATGTCATTACCACTCAAGATCAATTCAGCATGGAGAACTCTTTCATGGTGTATCAATTAGCAGGGACACTCACCTTACTGTCCTGTTTGATCTCCATGTGGCACATGACGGGGCATATCAGAAAGCAACATGAACCTGTCGTACAACGAAAGATCCTCGCCATTCTATGGATGAGTCCAATATACGCCGTCACGTCTTGGTTCAGTTTGGTATTCCCCAAAGCAGAGGGATATCTGGCAATTATAAAGGATGGATATGAGGCGTATGTCATCTACACCTTTCTCTCATTCTGCATTGCTGTCCTGGGCAAAGGAGATCGAAGCAAGGTTGTAGATATCTTATCCAAAAGAGCCGATCACTTGTCACCGCCCATCCGCTTTTGTCGTTGCTGGGACAAACGAGATCCTTACCAAGGAAATCCGCGAGCATTGGCAGATGCCGTCTTGCTGCAGTGCCAGATTTTTGCCATGCAGTTTGTCTTTCTGAGACCCATGACAACCATTGCTACAGTGGTACTAGCAAAACTGGAGTACTATGGAGCTGGAGACAACGCACATGACTACCGGTCTCCACAGTTCTACATATCAATCATACAGAACGTTTCTGTCTTCACTGCCTTTACCGGGCTGCTCAAGTTTTATCATGCAGTGGACAAAGACTTGGAATGGTGTCGACCTTGTGCGTGGGTAGTTAGTTGGCTCGTGTTGAATTGATGGTTTGGCTTGTTGTTACATGCTCTCACAGCAAATATTTCTCGCAATCTCTGTGTTTTGTGCAGTCGCAAAGTTCTTGTGTATCAAGGGTGTGGTTTTCATGACATTTTGGCAGGGTTTGGCCATTACACTACTGGCGGAAACAACCGATGCAGCAGGTGGCGGAGACCCAGACGAATGGGGGAAGGTAAGTTTCCAATAGGAAAGAATCGAATAATGTCAGACAGCTAGCTGTACGTGCTCTGATACGTCATATTATTCCTTCGTCTTTGGTCTACTACAGGCTGCTCAAAATTTTATGATTTGCCTGGAGATGCTCTTGTTCAGTATTGCGCACTTTTACTGTTTCCCAGTTGAAGAATGGGAACCTGGTTACCGCGCTAGAGCCAGTCGCAGTCTGGCGGAGAGTTTAGCCTTGGGTGACTTTGTTCAAGACCTCAAGCTGATTCTCAAGTAGGTTTCTTCCTTCTCGGCAAACTTGCTTGTAAGAAAGACACAATCACCTCTCACCAGTTTCACCCCGCCATACAGGTCTTCTGTTAAGAAGAAGAAAAAGTCAAAGAAGAAGCCCTCTGAGCCAACGGTCCCGGAAGGAGATGAAGAAGAGCAGGACAATGACGATGATGAGACGACCATCACAGATATATCTGACCTGGAATCAACAGCCATCACAGATATATCTGACCTGGAGTCAACCCTGCGAGAACGAATAGGAGCCCGGGTCGGAGGAGATGACAATGACAGCTCCATCCAAGAAGCACGGATGAGCTTGTTGGCGGCACTGTCTTTTTCCGAGCTCGAGTCGCCAAAGGGGAGCAATGACTCAGTAGAGGACTTCAGGGACGACGACAACGCCACGAATGCTGCCGGTGGAGTAAAAACGGCTAACAAGGACCAGGAAGTCAAAGACAGAAGCCATGACCACATTTCAACCGAGCGAACGAGTCTCCTTGACCATGACAATGTAGGTGAAGTGATGAAAGAAGAGCACCTGAGGCAGGAAAGCAATGTTGTGAGCAACGAGGAAGACGAGGAGGACACAAATGATGCCGGTGGGAGAATGGCAAACAAGGACCAAGAAGTCAAAGATGGACACGACCAGGCTCCAACGGTGCAAACGAGTCTCCATGAACACAGTGATGTAGGTGAAGTAGTCACAGAAGAGTGCCAGGTACAGGGAAGCAATGAATCGAGCAACGAGGAAGAGAAGGACGATGGCGATGCAAATGATGCGGGCGAAGCAAAAATGGCTAACAAGGAACAACAAGTCACAGATGGAAGCCATGACCGGGCTTCAACAGAGCAGACAAGTCACCTTGACCATGACAATGTAGGTGAAGTGGTGACAGAAGAGCCCCCCCTGCAGGAAAGCAATGCAGTAAGCAATGAGGAAGAGGACACCGAGGATGAACTTCGAACTAAAAACGAAGAGATGCTGCAACCAAGTATCTTCACGACCATTGGAAAGCATCCAAAGACGGGCTAGCCGTGAAACTTGCTCTACTTCATCACTTCGCAGTGGACGGCCGGGAGAGAATCCGAGGTCGTCTTGGGTTCTCTGCGTCGGCCCTGGAAAGCTACCTTTTAGGTTTTAGAAATACATATTGTGCATCAATCTAAAGAAGAAGATGTCTGTCCTACGGAAGTCGTTATGGGTTCTTACTTGGCATGAGGTGATGATATTGCGTCGTGAAACGGCAGCAAGTCTTCAAAGTGTAGAGCTTGCTCTCGAGCGAGCCTGCTCAGGTAGATCTGCCGTGCTATGAAGAGACTAAGGTCCTTCTCCTGCCAGTAGGCGGAGTGCGCAGCAAAAGCAGCGACGTACTCGTTGGCAGCTTCAATTTCTTTTTCTTGCAACATGTAATCTATTCGGCGGCCTTCGTTGAGCTTGCCCGTGGCCACATGATTGGTGGCTTGGTCATCATCAGGCGTGCCACGAACGGGCTGATTGTCTTCGTCATTGAGATCGCCCACAGCATCCAATAGTCCCATCCCGGCAATTCCTTCTTCGAGTCGCTCAATGACTGTCTGCTGCGTCTGCATGGTCGTCTGAATCAACTTTCTCCACAGACGCTTCGTTTGGTATTGAACACGGAATCCCCCGTTCCAGTGGGTCATGATTCTAGGCTCAAATTCGCTGTTGCGAGGGTCGATAAGTGGCTCAATCCGATAGGCAACAGGGTCATAGGGATGAAAGATGTTGAATACACGAGAGCAGCCGCCCAGTGAATAGTCCGCACTGAGCGGTTTTCGTTGATTGCGCACCATGAGGAAAACAGCAATAGGCGATCCCAACCTGGACGGGGAAAAAGCCGGCAAGGAAATATGAAACATTAGTCGAAACAATGCCGCAAAACCAGTGGCACAAATCTCATTTCAGAGTAAAGCACTCACATAAAGGCATTGTCGACATCAAACTGTAGCTTTGGATATTGCCACGAGGAAGATGGGTCTCTGACGAAGGAATCGTACGTTCTAACGTTGCTGACTTCCAGGCCCTTGTGCTCAGAAGAATTCGGAACTTGTAGCTCAGCGGATTCGAAGTTACTGTCTTCGGGTGACTCGGGACATGAAGTCGAGACGTCCTCCCATTCCTCTGCGTTATGGCTTCTCACGTCACTTTTCCCGCCTACTGGTATGCTGTCGCCATGAGGCTCATCTCCACTCATGAAAGAGTCCATCACCTTGCTGGGAAACTGATGAGCTAGGATGTCCCAGCTGATTATTGATCCCAACGACTTCAATGCAGGATGGAGTCAACGACGTTTGAGACTACCACAGCCAAACAGATCAAAGAGTGACGGTCCACAGACTAACTTACATGGCCAATAATAGAAACTTTACCACGAAAGCCCGTCAACGCTTTGAATTTTTGCACAACCACGTTCATCTCAGCTGTACAAATTTGAATAATCGTGTCATGATGCTCAGCGGACATGAAAAAGAGAACGTCCATCAACGTGTCATTCGCGAAAGTTCGCATCTGAGGGATGGTCCTCAGAGAGATGTCTTGCATCATAACTCGAGACTGGCGTCCTCCCGCCTTGACAAGCTGTCTCCCTATTGGTGATGCCTCAAACTGAGATGGAGCAGACATGCGCTGAGACATGATAGAAAAAGCTTCGTGCCATTCAATTGGTAGATATTCAACCCTCCCCGTCGATACAGTTGGAACAGACTCGTGGGTTGGGTACATGTGAGAAAACCGTGCGCTTTGTACCTCGGCATGATTCTGTCTCAGGAATCCAGCGCAATCAACGATGGTTGACAAGTTTGTGATTTGGAGACCAAACAAGTCCACCGAACGAAGCATCTCTCCTATTCCGTGGACCATCAGAACGAGATGATCGATGTCGTCGGTTCTGTCAGTGTCATCGTCGCTTTGCCTTTGGGGATCTCGGTCCACATCATCAAACTGTGTCGAAGGAACTGCCAACGACTTTTTGCTGCTCGCCACTGGCAATACGGCCCAATCTTCGTCATCTTCGTTTTCGTCATTCTGCTCATTGTTGTCGGCTTCTGGTTGATGCTGCGATTTCAGACTGAAGTCACCAGAGAAGACTGCTTCAGGAGTGACACCAAAAACAGATTCAGGAATTTTGGGGTGCGACAGATCCGCTCCACGATAGACTCTCCGCTTGAAGAGCGAAATGGCGCCTCCAAGCCCCTTCTTGATGGCAGTGGCAGCTGTAAGGGATGAAAACTGAACAAGTTGCTGTTCACCTCCATCTGGGCTTTCGACTTGAACCGTCAGCAAGGCATTTTCGTCCAGGTGGCCTTCTTGTTCCACTTTCCGTTCGGGGGCGTCTGCGTCTTCAGGGCAAGTGCTTTCCCGAACTGGTTGCAGCGTTGTGTCATCCCTCCCTTCTGCGAGGCCCTCTTTCAGGCATTCTCGTCTCCACTTCAAAAACAAGTAGGCATCTTCCAACACTGCCTGCGCTTCTTCACCAAAGGGTTGCAAACCATGCCGTCTAGTATCCAAAAACCAGACGGCCCGTCTGACTTCATCTCCCGGACCATGGAATCTCCACAAGTTGGGTCTCATGACCATGGACAGAGGAGGCGAGGATAGCATGGCCAATGCGGCTTCACTGTCAGCACAGCTTCGACAAACATCCCCAAAACTGGGAGGTTTTGAACGAACGTCTTGTTCCAGCGAGAACGATTCATGTCTCTTCCGGCATCGAGGGCAACACATGTAATAGGAAACAGAATGTCGCTTCTGATCAACCATGACGTCCCTCTCCAAGTCTGGAACGTACCATTGGGCTACCGTTGGATACCCCGACGAGACACCCATGCCCATTTCGGCATTATCTCCACCGTAATCTTGGGATTGACACGACGAGTAGTCTTTGACATCGTTGTCGTTCTTTGAGACTTCTCTTGATGATGCAGGATGCTCCAAACCAGTTTCTTCAAGTGACTCAGACTTTTCTGGAGACGGATTGAGGTGGCTCGATCTCGTGCTGGTCCCGTCTTGAACTATATCCAGGTACCTACGTTCTAATTTGGCTCGGTCATCACCATTGAAACGTACCCACGGCGTGTCCCTGCTTGGTCTCTTCCCATTGATGTACGGCAATCTAAACCAGAGGGCAGATCCGGCATCTGTCAAATCCGAGCCAAGATCGGCATCGGCAGTGTCGGCCACATGGTAGTTGGGCAACAGGAATGCTTCTTTCGAATTTTTGCGGTAGGACGGGCAAGTGGATAACCACTCATCGTCTTTGGTCAAACTTCCCCCTCTTTCACGCAGTATTCCAGTCAGTACCAAATCCCGGTACAGTGGTAAATTGTGCTCTCGGACATGGGCCGCAAGCTCATAGCGGGTAATGGTACCACGGAGACTGAAATATCGCTCGCATAGGTGATCAATAACTTCTTGCTTATTCAATTTGTCCAGAGTTGCATACGGTCCTGAACCGAGCACCTTCCATTGTGTGTGGCTGAGGGTACGGGTGATAATAGCGTCAGCTCGCTTAATGTAAAACAGTATCTCTCGGGCAGCTGTGCTCAGGGCCCATTTGGTGCCTGTCAACACAAAATCAACGCTGTTTCGTACTTGATGCCGTGAAGGAACAGGATATAGAGCAACTTGCCAGGATGTTTGCACCACTTGGACCCATAATACCATCGAAGGTGCCAATACAGTGGGTCCTACCCATGGAACTTGCTGGACCAATTGCAGAGACTGGGATGCGGCCTGATGGGCTTGTTCGCTCTGCAAGAATCCCACAGTCTTTTCTGCAGCGTCAAATGCCGGAAGGAGTATCCAATCTCGTACAGGCACCAAGATTCCATGTTCCAAGCCAGTGGCGCCTGCTTTGGCAGCACCGTAGAGCTTGACCGCATTGTTGGTTGTCGCTAGCAAGAGACCACGAAGGGCATTATAGGATTCTTCCCACTGATCCACCGCAATCTGAGCCGCATCAATTGCATTGTCGTTGGAATCCCAAATAACTTTTTTGCTGGCCAATCCGACACGCTTGGAAATGTGTCGGACGTGCCGTAACGTGGAGGAGGCTCCCAGGGGTCCATTACCGAAATAATCGGATTGGTTATATCTCTGAGGAGCCTCGAATGGCGAAACGTTGTCGTCTGGTTCAGCCATGACAAAATCGCTGTCGGAAGTTGACAGTTGATGGTATGGTGATGGATGATGGATTTGTGGGGATTGGACAATGATCGGCGACTGATGCCCCAACCGAGTTTGACGCCTCTGATCATGGCTCGACCTCTTCTTAGCCCGTGGTGTGCTCAACATCTGGCCTTCATTATCTCCCATCGTCTTGTCTGCTTCTGCGGATAGGGTAGAAGTTCAAACAACTAATGGCGTACTAGTACTGCTATTGATCTAACATGATCTCGATCGATTGCACTTCGTCATGGCTAACTTTTTTGCAGAAACAGGAACAGGTCTGTTCCATCATAATTCTCGTCACTCGTGACTCCAGTTTCATTCTCCGATGCCACGTCACGACTGTCCTGCTTCAGCTCCCCCGCAAATTGAACGTATTCACTTTTACCTTGCTATGAAGCAAGTGTGAACCAAGATGTCAAATGCAAAGATTTGCCGAAAGGCTAAGGTGCGGTACATGTGCTGGAAGTTCTGCACTAGCCAGAGCCAAGATAGTCAGCGAGTACTCTCCCTTATTAGGCACATATTTTAATTAAGATATTGAGAGATGATACAATGACACTTTCTACAACAAACTTCCTTCTTAAAAGTAGAAACAGGTACCAAATGGCAAAAAGTGTTTTGCCCCTGGCAGGATCCAAGCACCTTCGGCGCCGCTTTGAAAACTAATCTAGAAAGGTAACTGCTGTACCATACGACCTCTCGGCTTAGAAGCCTTGAGCCGTCCTGCCGGAGGATGACCAACCCCGTCCTGCTGCTGCTATACCCACATGGAGCTCACATTTCGTCACGGTTGTGGGGTTCCTCCAACAATTTCACAAAATCTGGACCTTTTGGAATGATGGAATACGCATTCAGAATAGGGTGACTGCAGTAGTAATGGGCCTTGATTTGCTCCATGTCGACAGTCTCAGCAACACCTGGCATTTGGTAAATCTCACGGCAATAGTTCAGAATGGCAGGGGAATCCATCACTCGCTGGGAGTTGGTCTTGAAGTAGACCACATAGACCTCGTCAAAACGAACCAATGTAACAAACAATCGGATATCAGAAAGTGTGAAGCTGTCTCCTGCAATATATCTCTGCTTTTTCAAAATCTCCTCAAGGCGATCAATCGATGCAGTCAGCTCTTCAATCGCAGCGTCATAAGCTTGCTGTGATGTGGCAAAGCCACACTTGTAGACGCCATTGTTGATTGTTGGGTAGATCCAATCATCCACAGCTTCCATGTCATCTTCCATTGCAGTCGGGGCTAAATCCAAATCAGGATGCTTGGCAAATGCATTGAATTCTTTGTTGAGCATCAAGATGATTTCTGCTGATTCGTTTGAAACAATTGTATTTTCCTTCTTGTCCCACAACACTGGAACGGAATACTTTCCATCGGTATCACCAGCCTTGTCATAAACTTCTCTTATACTCAATGAATCAAAGAAAGGATTCGGTTCATTGCCAGGGAACGCTGGGGGAAATGGTCCACCTTTGCCGTCTGCGTTTGGGAAGCTGTTACCGCTTGGATTGCCAAAGATCCAACCTTTATGTTCATCCACCTCCGGTTTTGTCTTTTGCCAAACTGGATGAACAACTGTCACAGAAATGGCATCTTCTAGACCCTTGAGAGCCCTTGTCATTAAAGTCCTGTGAGCCCATGGGCAAGCATATGCGACAAACAAATGGTATCGATCTTTCTCTGGTGGAAACTTGGCTCCTTCATCTGCGGTGAAGAAAATTCATGGTAATTTGAATAAAGGGGATGAATCAGAATTGTGTTGGTCACACTGAGGAAACACTTCAAGAATGTACACTGTACCTGAACTAATCCAGTTTCTCCAGGCGGCGTCGACTCGCTTGAACTCTCCCGAATTTGATACTTCTGCCAAAGCAGACCGGGCTGCGAAGTGCCTAGTCGTAGTCAGCGAGTGAGCATGAGAAGAAAAAGCGCTTTGCCCCCGAGTCGAGACAGGAATAGCAGCGAATCCAAGTCGAACAAAAGAACTGGTGGAAAAAGGCGCGGCTCTCCTGGGGAAGAGACTACATGTAGCCAACAGCATGGTTCTGATCCAAAGATGAAGTTGCATGGAGGCAATCTTTGAACGATTCTTTCTAGCTTTTCCTTTTGTTCTGATTGAGTTATTTGTGTACTCGTCGCTCTTCTGTTGCCTTGAGCGGCTAGTTAGAACAATCGGATAGCTTCCATCGGACAAGTCGATCGGAGAGTTTCATCGTTCGGAGGTTGTCTTCGGAGCTTCCAAGGCAATGGTGGGCAAAGTGCGTGAGGCTCCATGTTCTTTTCCAGTGAGATCCAAGATCCAAAAAAGAAGAGCACCAAGAAATCCAAAAAAAGAAGAGCACTCGCCCTGATGGGTGCCTTTTTGAAGTGAGGAAGATCCACTCTCCAGGCATTAGAAACAAGCTTATTAGAGGGAAGAAGTGCAAAAATCCGCCCAACGTGGAAGCCTTAAAGCAAGAGTTGCGAGAATGGTTGGCGGCCTATCGACTACTTGACAACTGCGTCTCAGTGAAGAATAGTGGAAGAGACAAGGCATGCACCTGTTGCAAGGATATTCCAGAAGGTGGGAGCTACAATTTCTATGTCATTGTAAACTCTCTTTATGAATTCGCTTTGAGAGACCGGAAGGGCCAACTATCCTGGGTGGCCGAATGGATCAAATACACGAAACGACAGATGAAACACAAGCATCTATTCAACAAGGAAGAACAAGCAAGATGCTACCTCATGCCTGGGATCTGTCTTGACCCAGTTTCATGCTGTCGAGATACTCTGATGAGAATGATTGGATTCGGTTATGAGAAGTGGAAAACTTGTGAGAACATTGCCGACGGCAAGCGAACTACATCCCACGGCAACGACGGCAGAGCCCACAGGAGTCAAGAAGCAGTGGACAATTCGCTGTCGGTGTTCTTCGAATCCATGAAACAGCTAGCATGCCCAAGAGCAACTCTATTCATTAGAGATCTGGTTGGGGACACTGTTCAGAATTCCATGAGAGACGACAATGAGGAACTCCTTGAACTGCCTTCGTGCAACTCAAAAAGGCAACTGTACGGAAGATACATCCATGAAAGGGGATACAAGTACATCATTGATTCGAAAGGAGCAGTCACATCCAACGTCCCACTTCCCGACAAAGAACAACAGCCGGTCTGCAGCTGGGCGAAATTCCACAAATACTGGGCGAGGAACTACCCTCTCCTAATAGTGTGTCGCCCTAGAGAAGACATCTGTAACGAATGCTTCAAGCATGCCAATCGACACAAGTACGTGGTCAGTCGACTTCAAGCCAAGGAAGACCGATTGGACAGAATGCAACTTGCTGGTGACTCCGACAATGAAGAAGAGGAGAACACAGAAGAACAAGCAACAACAGGAACAACCACAACAACCTCGACAAAACAGCGAACCGACAGCACCCACAGCATCACAGATTGAAAGGGCGAAACTATTGCAAGAGCAAGTTGAACTCCTTGCGGCAAGTGCACATCATGTCAGGATGTACAATGATCAGCGCGCTCTCTTCCAGCAATACAAGTCCATTGCCGTGGAGTCCAAAGATAAGCGACCAAGTGAGAGGTCTCTTTGCTTTGTCGCTGACTATGCACAGAATATGGGTATTCCTTGCTTTGGCTTTGAACAACCAGGCGAAACTTACTACTACAGTCCGCTCAACACATACTGCTTTGGCGTTGTTGACACAGCCGTGGATCACCTTTCGGGCTATGTTTACACAGAAGAAGCCGCAAAGAAAGGAGGGAACAACGTTGCATCACTTTTGTGGATGCATCTTCAACAGAGCGGAGTACTCTATACAACAGAGCCCTTCAAGGAGATCTCATTTTTCTTCGACAACTGTCCAGGACAAAACAAGAACAACATGGTGATCCGTCTTATCTACTTGCTTATCAAGTTGAAAGTTACCATGAGCGCAAAGTGCTGCTTCCTTATCCGTGGCCACACGAAGAATGACTGCGACAGGTTGTTTAACTGCATGAAGAAAGACTATCGAAAGGTACACGATGGACATTGTTCTTCCCACGAAAACCTGAAAAATGAAACGTCTTATCCACTTGCTTGCTGCTACTTCTTTCTACTCTTATAGTCCAACATCTATCTGCCCGAAGACATGATCAAAGCTCTTACTCACCCACAAGTGCAGCCGGTTTGGGTTACGGCCGATGATATGTTCGATTTCGATAAGCTGGGAAACCAGTACATGTACAGGATAGCAAGTGGAATAGACAACAACCATGTCTTCGAGTGCACATCCGGCATGGAGAATGGCGCAATGATGTGTATTCAAGAGTGGATCAATGGCGTCCGTGTCTATGAACAGATACAAAAGAAATCCGTCAGCAAGAAGATTCTAAAAGATCCGACATGGGACTCTAAAGAGAATTGGCTCCTCCGTATGAAGGAACTTCAACCTATTCCTTCTATCGGTGTACAAGACATCAAGTGGATCGAGCTATATGATAAGTGGGGTCCTCTCATCCCCGAAGAGAAGAGGAAACAGCTAAAATGGTACAATGAAGATCCTGGTACGGAGCGTCGCCAGAAGGTTAAGAGCAACACAAAGGCTTCCAAGGGTGCCAGAGCAGCGAGAACCATCACTGCTGCAACTAGTTAGTCTAATAGAGGTCTAGTCTATGCTGGATAATGAGTTTGTTATATTGGTAAATTGGAGTTTTGTGGCTGGAACGCTTGTGAGCTTCATTGTGGTGGCTCACTTTTTGTTTTTCGCGATTATCTCAGCTTCGAGTTTCCAGATATTCCGGACGATGACAGACGGTGCGTTGCTGGTTTTTGTGTGGCCAGTCTTAGTTGTCCCATCCAATACCGATTTTAGTACAAAACGGGTTTCTTTTTTACTTATTAACCAGGTACCTGTATGGCACGACGTAAGCCTGCTGGTGCTGGGGGACCATGTAAAAGACCGGGGGGCTCACCTGACCTCGCGCATACCTTGATTTAGCTGACTCTCGATTTTTCGCTAAGAGAAGGTAGCAGCTTGCAGTTCTGTGATATTGCTAACCTTGTAAGCTACTAGCATGTCCGCGGCAGCCTATACTGTGGCTGAGTCCCCTCCTTTAAACACCAGTGTAGTGCGTTCAACCTGCCCCAACTTCTTTGACCTGTTGACTCTTATAAGAATGATCTCAGCGCACCTAGCTACCTACCTAACCCAGGTAAAGCTGGCTATTGAAGTGCTCGCTATTAGAATGACCCCATATCAAATTTAGAATTTTTTGGCCATGTGCCATGGAACTGTCTTGTGCGCAACCAATAGCAGACGCTCCGCGCAAGGTGTGGAATCCGTGATCCACTTGGTTGGAGCTAAACCTTGGGTAGCCCCTATAACTGCCATTGTATTATGTGGATTATTAAGCTTCATGATTATTGCTCGTGGTCTGCTGTACTCCATTTGCGAAAGATCACTAGACTGCGCCAGGACACGATAAGATACTCTCCAGGCCAGGGCAGTGCGATCCCGGCAATAGATCCTTTGTGATCGCATAGACCCAACTTTATCTCCAAGTTGTAAGGAAACACTTCTTCTGTACGGCCCGTTGGCAAAGTTCAGTTCGTTCCAAACGAGTTGGATAATCACAATCCACATGACTTGTGTTGCAAAAGCCATACACAAGGTGCTGTGGTTTGTATGCCGTCCGCGTTTCCAGTATGTGCAAGTTGTTGCATTTTTGCTTCTTCTTGGAACGACGGCGTGATTTCTTCTTGGTTCCACCATTCCTACCATTCCGAAAGCCACAAGTTGCAATCTTCAATGCAGGAAGATGATTTGTTACCTCCATTGCCAAGGGGTTCCTTTTCTCAGTAAAATGCAAAGCAGCAGTTGTGAGATTCTTGGAGATGCGGACCAACTGCGGCTTCAAGCCATGACCAGCAAAGGCAGCTCGGTGCATCTGCAGTTTGGCTTTGTCTGCCACTGCCTCCATTGGAGTGGGCACATAACCCACTTTTCCTTTCTTCAATCAACCTTTTTTTTCTCTTTTTTTTTTTTCTTTCACGAACAACTTTCTTTCACCAAATTTTCACCGAGTCCGTTCATTGTTGTATCCATTCATCCCATAGTGACCAATGGTGGTCCGTTTGAACCCACGTCTAATACACTCAGCCATCATCGAGGCACCATAATATGTCATAGTGGTCTTCGTCAAAAGAGGATCGAACCCACTCATGGCCAACAATACCCCAAAACAGAGTTCATTGGTTAAAGCACGAGGCTCCACCCCCAGCACATAAGTATAATCACCGTGGCAAAACGGGTTTTCCCAGCCCTCCAAACACTCCAACTCCTCAGCTGTAATGCTTTTGAATCGAAACTCTTCCAGCCCTCCAATCGCTTCCAAATTGGGGACAAGGTAGCGGTCGGTCGTTACTGAATGGGACGTTAGCCATGCAGCACAGTCCTCCCAACACTTCCACTTCCCCTCCTTTTCGAGTGCTATGAAGTCATCAGCATTTAGTTTTGTAAGCCATGCCATTTCTATTTCATTAAAGCTGCACAAAAACAAGCCACAATTTGGTTAGATTGTAAGACAGCAAAAATACACAACACAAAATGATTCATACGTCTTCTTGTCAGCACTTACTGTTCATTATATGTCGATGCACTACTAAGCGGCACACTATACAAGTGTTGCCTCGCTGCCTTTTTCATGGCACCCTCCTCGTGCTCATATATATATAGTGTAGGGACTAAGTCATCCAGCTCCTTCCCCTCTCTGAGTCCTCTAGAGGTACCACTTGATGAAGTATCCCATAACTTTTTGTGTCGATCCTTCAGCTCCGATTTCAATGCATCAAACTGTGGACACCTAGAGTGTGCCACCAAATCTGGGCCACCAACATTCACCTTGACAAAATTGAATTCATCAACCAATGGTTTGACAGTTCCATCACCATAGAGTTGCTTCGTACGACCTGCAAATGGATCAGCAATTTGGGGGGCCCCCAAGTTGCTCCAAGTAATAGATTTCTGAATCCAAATCAAGAATCCAGAACTGTTCATCCTGATCAGGCACTGGGTGTACAGTTTCAACGATTGCATTGGAGCCCAGTGCCTTCACGATGATCCCGATTTTGTTGTGTCGATGGCTGATAAAAACTAAGCCTTTCAGACAGTTGCTAGTTTCATGGACGTTTTCATTCACCACCCAGAATCGTCTTGTTCCATCCGCAAGAGATATTCCAGATCAGTTGGAGTGCATTTGGCTTTCACCTCCAGAATACCCAATGTATCGAACTTGTCCACATACACCACCGTCTCTTTTCCCACGACTTTGTTCAAAGCACCATTGGTACTTTTCCCACCCTGGTTGTCATGGCACGGAGCATGACAGGCGTATTCATTCCTTGGTGCTTTCTCTTTTCCCACTGCTTTGTTCAAGACACCATTGGTACTTCTTCCCCCCTGGTTGTCATCGGCACACGGACCATGACAGGGGTACTTCATTCCTTGGTGCTTTTTCATGCTGAGATTTGTTACGGTGTCGACGCTTTGGGAGATGGTGTTGGTGTTGATGCTTCTGGCGGACCTTCTTGTTCTTCTTTTTCTTCTTGTATGCCATTGTTTGGTCTGCAATTGAATTCACTGTTGAGTAGGATTGCTTCAGCTGTACGAGTAGTGCAATTTCTGCTTCAGCTGTACAATTTGTGCTTCGTGCACAACCTCTGCCCTTGCCTTTCTCACCAATGACGACCACAGCCACAAGCCACAAGCCGCCTGCCTTCAACGCCAGCCTTCAAAGCCAGCCTTCTCTGGGCGCGAAATGCTTTTTAAAAAGGCAACCATCACGGAGTGCTT